GTGGGGTCAGCCTGCCTACAGTAGATCAATCAAACATGGCAGGAAGGTTGTTTCTCCTTAGGAAAGTCCGGGTGGCATTACCAGAAGAAGGCCAGGACCAGTGCCAGCAAGCCCAGACCACAGAAGCACACTGCACCATTTTACTCCTCTCAGGGTAGAAGCTGCCATTCACTGAGCTATGTTATCCTGCAGCACAGACCCCTCTGCCCTGGTTTCCTGGGCATGTGATGGCCCAGCCAAAGCAGTACTCGACCTGGAAGCCCACCGTTGCATTCTTTTCCAGGACGTAGAGGCAGTGGGTTAGCCAATTCCTTAGAGCGGGGTCTCTCCCAGTAGCCCTTGGAGGTGTGGTTATGTTAGACCTTCCCACAAGTGTCACAGACACGGGGCTGATGCCAAGTGGCACGGGAAACCTCAAGGGCCCTGCCATCCTCCCTCTTTCACTGGGAAGAAGACCAGACCCTTGCAGCTTTGTTTCACCCCTGCTGCCTGCCTTCCCTGACTTTTTGAATCTTTGTCACCTGGGAAGAAGGAAAAGCTACAGAACTCAGTGAAGGTCTTTATGAACAATGCCAGGATTTAAATTTGAGTTGGGCTTCTGTGTGTGTGTGTGTGTGTGTGTGTGTGTGTGTGTGTGTGTGTGAGTGTGTTCCTCACTGTTTGGCAAATGTGCCCACTCCCCGTGCTCTGGGGCACTAGTTAACTAGGCACATTCCAGGGCCACACCCTGCCCAACTGAACCGAATATCCGGGAAGGGCCCCAGGAATCTGTATGTCTAAGTCCTGTCGTCAGGGGAGCCTGGGAAACTGCCTAAATGAGTATCTTGGCTGTGGTATGTCTGCTCCATCCAGGGACACTGACCGTCGATTACAAAGCAGCAGAAACCACACCAAGAAAAATGATGTTTACTGCAATCGTGCATTACAACACATAGATTAGTGTGTCTTTGAGTAGTGAACTTTATCTGGTCCCCTTGTGCCCTCTGTAGCTTCCAGGTCTTTATACACCCGGGGAGTAGGCACAGCCCTGGACTTAGAGCTGTGGAGGAGTTGTGACCTTGGACAGGTGTCCTCAGCACTCCAAGCTCCAGTTTCCTCTTCTGCACACTGGGGATGAAACCTGATGACCAGTCCATCTGAGGATCAGAGGGAATAGCGTCCATGGACGTAGATAGAGTGTCATAGTGAGCACAGGATTGCGTCACATGGGGGTCTGGTCATTGCTTTTCACTCGAACGCCATAAATTCTTAATTTCAGGTGGTGTTGAGACAGTGATTCTTACTGATGAAAGTTGCCTACATTCTAGTGCTCCTTATATGTTAAAGTATGTGATGCTTTTGATGAGATATGGTATTGTGTGTGTCACTCATGAATTGCATTTTTGTTAAGGTACATTGCCATTAATTAAATTCTCTCTTATTCTTAACCACTGCCTGCTGTGGGTTTTCTGTTCCCTGTGAAGACATTTCTCATGGCACTAATAGCATTGTGTTCACTTCCTTTCTTGTCAGCCTGTCTCCTTCAAGACTCTGAGTAGCAGGGGAGCTTGTTCTGTGTCTGTATCCCCAGCAACGAACACAGTGCCAATCAAAAAGCAGACTTCCCATTGATGGCATGGATTTTAATTTATAACACATGTAACCCTAATTTTCTTTTTAAATAGTTCACAGCCCAGACTTACTTCAAATGGGCCCTTTCTTTTTCCCTTTTGTGGTGATTCAGAATGGAAGCTCCAGAGTCAGTCAGACTGGGTTAAGCTGTGTGACCTATGGCAAGTTACATAGCTTCTCTGTGTCCCAGTGTCCTTGGCTATAAATGGGTATAATAATACAGTGGGGCCTTGACTTACGAATTCGTTCCGAGACCGAGCTCGTTACGGAGCTCGTTAACTCAAATTACTCTATCAACTCAATGCAAAAAATCGGCCGAGAGACAGCTGGTATCTCAAAAAACTCGTTAGTCGGGACACGTAAGTCAAGGCCCCACTATAGTCTTGTTTCCTGTGGGTTTTTGAAAATTAAATGAGCCAAGTCAAGTCCCTAGAACATTAGTGGGAAGTAACAGCAGGCGAGGCGGTAGATGTGGTCATTGCAATGGCAGGGTGGTGAGAGGACAGGGCACGGGCTGTGAAGCTGAGCAGAATCACCACTGACTGTCCCTGGACCTGGGGTACAGCAGGCCACTTCTCTGCCTCAGCCTCTTCATCTGCAAAATGGGGCTCCTAGATTGCACATGGCTTTTGGAAGATGAATGAATGGACATGAATAGAGCAGTTAGGAGTCCTTTCCTTAGAAGGTGCCGGAGTCTTCCCTGCACTGTGGACCTCCTGGGTTATAGGGAGCAAACCAATGCCCTTTGGTATCTTGACCTGATGCCGGGTGGAGCTCTGGGCCCTGGGGACAAGGTGACCACAGGGAATCCCATGGCCTCTGCCTCTCACATGATATCAAATGATGGAAATCCATTTCCCGCAGGTTTATATGAGATTCCTCCATAAACTCCCAACCCAACCTCTGACCAAGTTGAAATGACATGATCCAACAGCAGATTTTGATCCGGCACTATTTTATCTGAGCATCATCAGGTGGTGAATTATTCTAAGCAAAATAATTTCCCAGTGAAAATCCTTCTAAGATATGCTCCTCTGGCCATCTTATGCAGAAGGCAAGGGACACAGCTTCATATTTCTGAAGGCTCTGGGGCATCGTTATGAACATGAACCACCGTGATGTCTTCAAAGGCCTCTGACCTAAGCTGGGTTTTCGGTCCTGTTACCAAATGCCCACAGATGGCTGAGCTTCTGAACTTCCTCTGGCCCTTGTTGCCTGCTGCTAGGAGTCGGTCTGGACTCCTGTGCCTTGGCTGTGGGCCTCTCTGAATCTAGTCTTGTACCCGAGGCAGCGCAGCCTTGCCTGGGAAAGCTGTGTGTGTGTGCCCTGTCGCAGCTACTTACTTGTCCTCCGAGACTTCCCCCTCACCATCAGGTTCAAACTGTGTTATACACGGTCACACATGCTAGGAATCTGCTTACACCCATCTACAGCCGTCCGGGAATATTTTACTGAGCCCCTGATTTGGGCCAGGCTCTGTGCTTTGAGAAGAGGAGTGTTATCTGGACACATTCACCCAGTCACACACACTTACAAACTTCTCACCCTGCTGTGTGCATATAAACTGCTGGGCATCTTGCTAAAATGCAGCTTCTGATCCCGAGGGTCTCAGACGGAGCCTGAGTGTCTGCATTGCTAACAAGTTCCCAGGCGAGGCCACCGCTGCTGCTGCTGCTGGTCCAGGCTTTTGAGTACCACGGCGTTAGCAGGACGCACATACCCGCATGTCCTGAGGGGCCAGGAAGGTGACTTAATGTCGAAGCCCGAGCACATGGAATTGCCAGGGAAGGGGTGGGGATCGCTCACTGGGCCAGGACATCGCCATTCTGGCCCACTGTCATTTTCTACCTTCACCCCCGTCCTGCTGGGGACATGTCCCGAGTCTTCTAACATGGGAACCGCAGGTGTGAGGGCTGTGGGGTGTGGCAGGGGCTGTGCCTGCGGAGCCTTCTGGCTGCCTGTCAGAGCAGGACTCGGTGCTGTGGGAGCACAGGACTTAATCCCTTCCCCTTGCCTCAGCCCTGAAAAGTTTGTGATGTGGCAGCAGAGAAGTTGCAAGAAGCATGAATATCTTAAAAGTTTATTTTTTAACTCATCGTATGTAAGGAGTCCCTTTCATGACCAGACATAAACAAGTGGGTGGGGGTGGGTTTATGGCTTATGATTTCTCTATGATGGAAGAAGTGAGATAGTCTTTTTCCTTCCATTGATTTTATTTTATTTTTTTAGAGAGAGAGTGGAAGAGAGAGAGAGAGAGAGAGAGGAACATCGATATGAGAGAGACACATTAATTGGTTGCCGCCTGCATGACCGGGACGGAGATTAAACCTGCAACCCAGGCATGTGCCCTTACAGGGAATCAAACCTGAGATCCTTCAGTGTGAGAGCCAACACTTTAACCACTGAGCCACACCAGCCAGGGCAGAAATGAGATAGCCTTTGTCCTTTAGCAACATACACACATGCACACATATATATATACTCATGCACATGCACACACACACACACACACACACAAATGTGAACATCTGCAGAGAGCAAGACATTCCAAGTTACCCGCAGGAGTCTGGGCCCTTCACCTTGGGCTCTTCTCTTCCTTCGAACTCCAAATCTCGTCTCCTGATGAGGCCTGAGCAAGATATGAGCAGTGGTCCCTGTGCTCAGGACAGCAGTGAGGGAGGGGCGACGCTGGGAAGGCTGGAGTCCTTGAGCCACAGGGCCCAGTGGCAGGTGTCCCAGAGCCTTGATTGGAGGAGGTTTTGTTTAGCTCAGCAAACGTCTCCCAGGAAAAAAACTTCCCCCAGGCTTGACTTAATACTGACTCCAGAGGACTTGAATCAGACATGCAAGAATTATAGTCATAACAGAGCAGTTAGGATTACAATATGCTTACAACAAAGGCAAACAAGCACAGTTTTTTGGTCACTGGCTTTCTCTCCATACCTGCTTGATGACTTTGCATGCCTGGCTCCCCGAGATTTCGGAGGTGTTTGTCTTTCTGTGTCCTCAGGTCCTCCCCGGCTGCTGCCCCTCCTGCTGGGTGTGGCCACAGGGCCCCTCTCAGGACACCCCTGTCGGCGGAGGGCTCCTCAATGCACCTTGTGACCAGGAGCACACAGATGGTGCTCGATTCTTAGAAGCTGCTTTCTTATATCCTTCCCCCTTTATGGGGCGAGACTCCACGTGGGGCCATCATTGCATATTGAGGTTAGAGCTTAAAAGCAACCTCTATTTTCTTGTCATCCCACCCTGTCTTCTGGGTTCATCAGGCTGGTGCCTCAGTTTCCTGGCTGGGGTCTACCTTCCCACCTTCCAACTGAGCTGACTCCACCAACCAGATTCACCTGCCCGCAGGCCCAAGGGACAGGCTGCAGGACTAGCTGGGACAGCTAAGAGGGCAGGCTGCTCACTGCTACTTGGGCCTTGGTGTTTGCAGAGATCATGAAGGTGGAAGGGCCCTGAACGCAGCTCTCATTCCAGCCGTTCATTTTGCAGAAAAGGCTGCCCCTTGCGGCAGGGCACACAGGGGTGAGGGCCTTGGAGTCCACTCGTCCCAATTCAGTGACTTGGTTCAGGTTCTCTCTGAGCCTCAGTTTTCTCATCTATGCAACAAGGAGAACTTCCTAGGTTTCTTGTGGGGTCAAGTGGGGTAATCTAGGCCTTCCTCGTGGGAGAAGTTAGCAGGTGTTCAGCTAACGTTAGTACTTGTGTTTTCTCCCCTATTCTCTTTTCTATGTGGCACCTAGTTCCTCAAACAGATAATTTCCCCCACTAGGCTATGAATTCCTGGAGGTCAGGGACCCCAATAAACTCAGGTTTCTCAGCACCTAGGACAGTGCCTGGCATATACCAATGAGATTTCAAGCTGATCAGTATCATGCAAAGCTTCGGGGCTCCCAGAGCACTGATATCCCCCTGGGGGAGAGGCCTGCCCTCTGGGAGGGCCCCTGGGGGCTGGCCTGCCTGGGACTCCACAGCCAGTTTCACAGAAGAATAGGAGCCATGGGGGGGTTTCTGGGACTTTTATTTTTACTCTTTATTTATATATATTTATTTATTTATTTTAGAGAGAGAGGAAGGGAGATAAAGAAAGAAAGAAAGAAAGAAAGAGAAGGAAGGAAACATCGATGTGAAACATCAATCAATCAGTTGCCTCCCGCACGTGCCCCCACCGGGGATTGAACCCACAACCTGGGTATGTGCCCTGACCAGGAATTGAACCTGCCACCTCTTGATGTACAGGATGGTGCTCCAACCAACTGAGCCACACCGACCAGAGCTTTACTCTTTATTTTTTAAAAGCCAATGAAGTTGGGCAAATGCTTGGTCCCTGTTGGGCTGCATTCATCTGGTCAGCCCCACTTGCCTCCCCCGGCCCTTCCACCTGCCGGTAGCAAAACACCACCCGGGGATGAAAAACACCACCCTGCTGGCCAGAGGCCTCCCCGCTGCCCCAGCATCAGCTCCAGTGCCAGGCTCAGGGGGTCCAAGGAAAGGACGGGCCGTGGGTCCCCTGCCAGCCCTGGTGCACCACCTCTGCGGAGGCCTCCCCTTCCTGCTGGGCACCCAGTGGGAGGAGCAGGGAATGCTGGGGTTTCTGCCTGCCCTACTGTCCCTCCCCTCTTTCTGGTGGTCCTTGCATCAGCACCCAGAAAGCCCAGGTGGGTGGCTCTGGGGTGCGGCAGCAGCTGCCAGGGCTCTCTTGTCTTTCCTCTGCCCCTGCCTACCACCTCCGTCGTTCCGGCTGTGGGCCTTCTTGTCTCTTCCAGTCTGGGGGCATCTCCATCGAGGGCAAAGAGGAGAAAGGAGGCCAGGACTGTGCCCTCGGGGCTGTAACCCTTGATTTGGGGTTTCACGGTGTTTCTTCTTCCCTGGGACCCACCTCCCCGCCCTGAGGTGGCTTTCCTCCAGCCTGGGTTATGGATTTGGCTCTGGCCCCTCCAGTGCCGAGGTCTGAGGAGGGTACCGTCCAGGACATGCCATCGTTTCTTCCCGGTCAGCCAGCAGCTGCCCTGGGCCCAGACCCTGGTTTCTCAACTCCCGGGGCAGAAGGGAGCCGCTTGCGCGGGGCCAGCTGCCTTCCCGGGGAAGCCCCACAGCTGGATCCCGGTGGTATGTCTGGGACCCCACAGCCAGGGTCCCGGTTGCCGAGTCTGGTCATTTTATCTACCTGTGCACTTAGGAATCTGCAGAGCTGGCGGGCAAGGCCTGGGCCCCCAGAGGGGCAAGAGGCAGAGAGGGTGCCGGCCTCGGGACCAGTTTGTGGCTCCCTCTTTGCTCCCTCCTCTCTCAGCCAGGCTGGTCTTCTCCACCCCATTCTGACCCTCCTCCTCCTCCTCCTCCTTCCTCTCCCCCTT